TATACAGATCTTTATTTAGACTATTTTTAACTATATGTTGTTTTTAGAATCATAGAGGGCAGACTCAGAGGAAAATGTTCCTCCTTTTTCCCCGCATACAAATGGAAAGATTCTCCACAGGACAATGTGAGATCCTAACTTGTGTGTCTGCCTCGTTCTTTGGGGAGCATTGCGGAAACGATACCTTCAGTGTTGGATCAGGAAATCTAAAAATATGAATAAATGCAGGAAGCTTTAATGAGCGCATGTATCCAAAACAAAATTAAAAAAAAAACACGCCAAATGAAGAAGGTCAACCTCAAAAAGCACATTAAAAGAAAACGATTTTACAGATATTTGACAAATTAGAAATTTCCTGGCTTTTTTTTTTTTCTGTGGCTTTTTTTCACCATTAACAGTATTCCCACGCTGAGCTTCCAACCTCTTTATGACCAAAACATTTATTCTGTGGGAAAACCCTCGGAGATGTGAGGGCATCTTTCCATCCACGCCCAGACGGGCTTCAGCTCCTTTTGAACATCAGTGAGTATGCTTCCTTTGCACACCGCCACCGGCACGTAGGCTACGCCTAAATCTCCCCGAGAGAGACGTCAAGAAACACACCAGGGACCTGGAGCGGCTTGGTTCGGCCCGTTTAATGACACCGATGATGAGAAAAACTGCACGCAAGTCTGGAAAGGCTTAGACCCGGAAGAACACAATATGCTGGAAAAATAACAATGCCATCTTTGATCTGATGCCCACATGCAATCGACCTCACAATCACAAGGTAAATGAGTCATATAAGACAATAAGTGCAAACAAAATCAGTGGAAATTCTCATTCCTCTACTCAGGAGGAGGAGGGGACGTAAAAAAGGCCCCAACATCCAAACACACTCATGTTTTCCAACAAATACCAACTGAAAATAAAACAAACAGCGAAGACGTCAGTGTGGACATTAAACCCATTGCTTTGCTTTTTGTTTTCAAATGCAAATGAACAACTTAGACCCGAAAAGAGGCTGAGAGAACGGCACAGAAAACATCTCTTGAGCGACGCAAGACGTCAGCGCCTACGTCAAGAAGATCCACTCGGTGCTTCAGCTCGGCTCTCGCTCTCTGCAGCAGGTGTGTTGGGCATACCGCTGACGCACTCAAACCGGCCTCCTTTTTAAACTGCCGCACAAAGGCAGGTTCTTCTGCAGAGGGAACCCTTTTAAACGCGGCCTTTCTTTCCAGAGGCCGCGATTGAAGCAGAAGTGCAGCACTGTGCGTCACTGCTTGCAAAAAAACGTAAAACCTCAAGCATGAGAAACATTCGGGACAGAAGAAAAGAGCCGAGACAGAAAGGTAAATAAAGTCGGGGAAAAGACTCAAAGGAAGGTGGGCAGACAAATGGAGAGGTGGGAGAGCAGCCAGCGGTCAGATTCACACAACCAGACAATTGGTGCAAAGCAGTAAAAACACTGAGGTAAGACCACACGCTGATCCAAAGATGACATGGGTGTATTCCTTGAGAAATCTACAAGAAGCTGGCATTTTCTTTAGCATTTTTGGATCAAATCTATTAAAAGTTGCCCCAAAAAAACTCAAATTACTTCACTAATGAGGAATTTAAAGCAAACTTGGATTAAATCTGATGGCTGAAAGCATTTTAAAGCACAGAGCAAAGAATTTCAAATCAAATGTAAAGATTCACTTCAAGCTGTTAACCTGAATAACCAATCATCTCTTCAAGAACATGAGCATTTGGCTTTTTAAAAAGGAAGCAAAGAAGTAGGTAGCAGGGTTTCATCAACATCCACCCTTTTAGCCTAATTGGCTTCAGCGGAGAAAGAAATCATCTTTCTTCCAGTCACAAAACACAACAAGAAAAGTAGCACTAAGATCCAGTCATACAACAGAGGTTTCTTTAAAGCTACCGGGTTTGAAGTGTGTGCATGGCACTGATTTTAATGACTTGGAAGGCATAACCCTGGATGACTCAGATCTCTATCGAGGCCAAGGAAATCCTGACTGGGACATCCCTACAGTAAACATCTTATTAAGAAGAATTAGACCTTTGCTTCACCCAGAAAGCACTAAAACCAACATTGGCCGAGTCATCTTCAGCGATCTGCTCATCAAGTCAGTGATTTCCCTCCTTCTAATATGTAAATAAAATATTATGAAAGAAAAATCAGGTTTTTCTTCTCAGGGGGATTTTATTTCTTCCTTCAAATGTCAGGAAACTAAACCGCATTTGAGACAGAGCCTGCATCTGTTAGAAACAGGAATCTTAAATGGATGAGAATGGTTCCAGAGGTCGTTCATGTTGTCTTTATGCCCTCGTTTAATTGGCTTATTAGCAATGTTTGTGCAGTTTAACCAATAATTGTCGGGGTCAAAAGTCTATGCTGCCACTATTCTGCAGATGAGGAGCCATTATAAATCAGTTTGTCTGTCAGAAATAATGCAGTGTGATGGCGCTGAACTGTGAGGCACTGTTTAGCAGACGCACTCCGAGTGACACAGCAGCCCGTAACGGTACATTTTCGCTTTCTTTGTGATGGTTCAATACACCGACGCCGCGCGCACCCTCAGCCACCCTCGCTGCACGCACACACATGTGTGTGCTCAGTAACCAGATACAGGTAATCAATCTTCCTCCACTTCACAGGCCCTGCAGTCTGTTTCCCGTTAGGACGAATGAGCGTGTGTGAGCAGAAGCTCCGGACTCGTCTGTCGCTGAACACGAGAGCAGGGAGGAGATGGAAAATATAGGAAGCGGAGAGAAGGAACGGAG